ATTTTTCTTTGGTTTGATAACTTGCTGAATACAGATATATATCTGTTTTACAGACTGATGTATATGTAAACACACTGAAGAAAATTGTAAGTACTAAATTACTTTATTTTGGATTCTTGTCATTTAAAGCTGCTTATTGGTGATATCGATATATTCTGTGTTATGAAAATGAAAATATCAGATGTTCTTTGTAAGTCTTGTTGACACTGTTGACTACTCTCTGAGATCAAATCAGTCACTCACTGAATTTCTTACTGTTTGTTAAAAACCTGCCTTGGATCAATATACTCGCTGTATGCTTGTAATGTAAATGCAAATATGCAGTTTTGGTGTTTTAAAGTTCTGACTATTTGCTGAGAGACAGTATAACTACTGCATACTGATTTTTACTTGTATCCAGTTTTGTCTTCTGAAAAACTTAAAATCTTTAAACTTAAATCCACATTGCAATAATTTTTGCTAGCAGAAAGATCTGAAGAGGACCTTAAATGATGTCTTTAATCATTTCTCCTCCCATGTAATCGGAACTTTATTGTCTGATTAGTTAAACAGACCAAATTCTTGAAACTTGAGTCCTCCCTCTTTAAGTGTTTCCAAGTCTGGTCATGTCTCTGGACATGCATGTGGATGGTTAGAAACAATATTTACCCTTAAATGTCAATGTGATATAAAAAATGCATCTAGAGAGTCACGGACCAAAGATCTGATCAATAACAGACAAGCCACTCACTGTGGAAAACCTTAGCCATATTTATTTTATCCAACACTGTAACACTATGATAAAATAAGGAAAAGCCTAATAGGTTCCTTTATGTATTGGACAGATCGGTTAGAAACAGTAACAAGTGCTTCACTGTTTAACATCACTCCTAAAAGCTGTGTAAGGTTTACTTTTTATGAACAACTGATCAGACGTTCAGTAACCAATGAAGAGAAAGGCTTCAAGTTAAAAGAACTTTTTTTATTCATTATGAAATCATGTTATGAAAATAATGACAACTAACCATATATCAGACAAATGCATCTTTCAATATGTTAACAACGTTTTGCTGTAAAGGCTGTGACATCTCCGCCGTCACCAGAGCATAACTGTGTACTGTTTGTGCTTGGCGTGTACTTCACCTCATCCTGGAAGTGGCCATTCCTGCTGTTGTTTCATACCATAAAAATGTCTACAAGGCTTTTCACGTCTCCTTCCAGTGTTTCCACATGAAAATCCTTTGCAAATAACCTTCTGTTTGTAAGGGAGAAGTTCACATATATACCAGATTTAGTCTTTGTGTTCTGCTTCCTGTTGTCTAATCCTTCAATCAATAATTTACACAAAATCTGTACATACTTACAGCAGGCTGATGCCTGTTTCTGAAGGGTTGTGCACATAGAAAAAAGAAGCAAGAAAGTTGATGTGATACGATGGAAGATCAGGGTGTTATGAGCATATTAGACACTTGCCTTAATGACAAATGTAACCCAACAACTTTCAGTCGCTCAAAATGAGTCTGACATTCTGCAACAAAAGCCACACCCACTTCTTCCAGTCTTTTGCTATAAAACACACACTCGACACAGCTGACAGGGACGCACATTAAAATATTTATGGAATGAATGAGTGTGTGTTTGTAATGGCTGATGTTAGGATCAAGTATATTTACCTTAGCCAAAAAGATGCAAACCTTTGGGTACATAAGAGCGAAATTTGCTATTTCTAACCTCCATCTGCATATTTACCCCCCCCTCCCCTCCATATCCAACAGCTGATAAACTCCAGCTGGGACTGGAACAGACGTCTGAAAAAAATACTTAAGGCTTTTATCGTTTAGCACATTATTCTTCGACTGATCGGCACTTACTGTATGCAGTCATTCATCTTTCACATCACTCATATTGCATTTTTGTTCACAAAAATCTGTTACACATTTCAGAATTAGAAAACGATGAGACTGAGTTACCACAGCATTATGTGGAAGCTACTGGCACTACAAACTAAAGCACAAATGAGCGAAAAAAATAACACAAACTGCTCCTCCTTCTCCTCGGACGCCGCTGCTGTGTGCTTCTTTATTGTTGCGATAACTTGATCTGTACTGAGCTGCGGAATAAAAATCTGGGGTTCATTTCAGGGTGCAGCTGCTCCTACAGGCGTAGCGGCAAATCCCGTGAAAAGCATCGGACCAGTAATGGTGCAGGAGGCTGAACATGAAACGTGTCGGAGGTCGTTCGAGTCGGGATTTGGGTACTGGCACCAGTTCTTTTCTATGGCACAAGTGTTTGGCAAACACAGTTAACATTCAACATTTTTGAAATTGACAAAATAAATTATGTCAATGGCACACCGCTGTTTCATACCATAACCACCTGCTCTGCCGCTCTCAGGTGTCCTGGGTTTAGATGAGGTTTTGTCATACATACAAAACTCACTTCAATAACACAAGAATGCCCTTTAAAAAGTTATTTGCTGAGACCAGAAATTGAGAGAAACAGGCTTGAGGTTTGTGTCCAAGTTTTGCATCCATGTTTCTTTCACATTTTTCCTGCACGAGTAGAAAAAAAAATAAGCGGGCAGATCGCTTTTGCACAACCGAAGCCATCCAGAGATCGAGCCTGCAACTGCTACAAGCCCCTGTAGATGCTTGTCCTGCTGTCGCCTGTAGTGTCATAAAGCCACATAGGGTAGTGGGGGTCAACCCTGCCACAATTAGCTCCTCACATGTTGTAAGCCACATATATGGGATCCAGCTGGTCAGCCAGGAATCCATCTCTGAGGTGCATGCGTTGTTTCTCCCCTCTGGAGTTGATGGGGATGACGCCGGGGTCTACCACCACCACCACCCCTACGATGAGGTAGTGCTCCTCCAGGACCACATTGGTGACCAGGGCCACCAGGTCGAGGGCCTCCTGCTCAGATCCCTCCAGTTCTACAACCACCACGAGCAGGTTGGTCCATGTGAACACCGCACTGGAGAGAGGAGGAGGAGGATGGTGGATGAAAGTAAATACAGAGAAGTCATGTAGAATTCATATTTCTTCGTTGACAACTAGCGACTAAAGGTGTTGTAGGTTTCTCACCATTCAGCTATGCTCTTGTGAGAACGGATAACAGAGGTCTCGATGTCAATTGGGTGATACCTCATCCCCCTCAGCTCCAGAGTCTCATCAAGAGAGCCCACCACATAGAGGGCGTCATGACGCTCTGAGAGACACAAACACCCACAGTCAGACTGTTCAGTTTACGTTTTGATACTAGAAAATACTTACATTAGCTTTCCGTGGAAAGATTGCAGACTTTAAGTTAGACTAAGCATTGGTCACTCACCTCCGCTGGCATCGGTCAGCTCAGTGCGCCGCAGGAAGCCCAGGTAGCCGGTCCTTGCCCAGACTGTCTGAGTGTCCCCGAAGCTCAGCTTGGTGTTGAAGTGGTCAGCATGCAGCGCCTCCTCCCCATAAACTGTGTAGTATCCTGTGGCATTGTGGGGACTGCTCACCCAGATCTGATACACAGATTAGTTACGATTGGTGACTGTTACATTCAGAAGCACACACTTTGCTCTTTCTTCTGGTCAAAGTTCTGAGGCGCTACAAACCCAATATGATGAGTCACAAGCTGCGTATTCCTCATGCTGATCCCATTAAAGGGTATCAAGTATAAAATCGGTGCCAAATCAACATACAGATCTATTTGTTGTGGTGACCTCTTGAAATAAGGGAGAAGCTGAAAGTACCCCCTGCAAACTTGTTCCAAAAAACCCAAAAGCCAAGTAAATTAATCACATTAACATTGAACTGCTGTTCAGCCTAAAATGTCACTTTGTGTAGCTTTTACACAAATTTCAGCAAGATGTTTTAAAAAGCCGCATTGATATGTAAATAGACATTTGCTTCTACTGTGCTGAATGAATTCTGCTGCTAAAAATAAAAAAACAAAACACCTTAACTCTAAGATGTTTTTAGGTCATTGCAGAAAGCGACTGTATCCTGCTTTAAAGGGGACTGAATAATAAGTGGTTTTTCTTATTGTCTAGAGGTTGCCTTAGAGAGTGGATGGACTGAGGGACTTCACCGAGGTCTAGTATAAGATAAATATGGATTATTTTAAACTGTGAATCATCCAAATCCAAATCTGGAGATGGAAACAAGCACAACAGGTTCCCTTTAAGCACACAGAAGAGTGACTGACTGACTGACTGACTGACTGACAGCTCTGCTCTCTTAAAAACCAACTCACCTCTCCTAGATGGGAGTCTCCCAAGGGTCCTTTAGTCTCCGTGTTTGCAATGATGACTTTTACTCCAGGAAGGATCTACAGCAGCAGACAGCCAGGACTCAAATTAACAAAAAAAGCCCTGGAAGCAGCAGCGTTACACACTATGTTGCTGTGTTTCAGTTCTTAGTTTTAAATTAGTCCGTACCTTTCCAGACTCCATCAGTGGCAGGCTGTGCGGTGACCCTCTCTCAACCAGGCGAACCCTGAAAAGACAAAGTGAGCAACGTCATATTAACTGTTTTTGTAAATATGACACGTAAATAAAGGAAAGAATACTAATTAGTTCAAAGTCGGGTCATGTTTTAAATGTATATGAATGCATACTGTCACAGTGTTCCCACCTATCGTGTCGTAGTGCTCTCATGTCCACGTAAACTGTGGTGGGATCTGGTCCAGCTGTACCCTGGGGAAAAAAGAAAGAAACAAGCAGATCCAGATATGAGTCAATAACGTACGTGCTACAGCTGTGGCATTAACGCTGCATGTTGCTTAAGTGGAGTGGGGTTTGGAAGCTGATTATGAAACTACTGCTGACAAAGCAAGGGGCAGCCAGAAGCCAACCAGCCAGGCTGCCATAGTTAGGACTCTGGCAAAACCTGGGCCATGTAAACACAAATACCTCCATCACCTGCTCTGTGGGAAAACCTGGAACATTTATTTAAATTCTAAATAATAATTCTTATAAAAAATGACTCAACAAAGTCTAAACATCATTTGTTTTGATTAAAAATCAAAGTACTTCCGTGCAGCTGAATTCTAAGTGATTCATTTTTCAAGTGCTGATTACAGCTGTCAGATATAGATCCCTTTGTGTGGGATTTGTCATCATTACTGCTGTGAGACTGGTCACAGCAAATTATGTTTTCCATCACTCGCTTTGCCAGTCTACAGCCAGAGCACAAGCCAGCAATGAGTCGCTGCACCGAGGTCTGTGAGTCACAGCCAAACACAGAAAGCAGGATTCAGTTTACTAAGCAGAGCACGTCTACCTGAACGACCACCTGTGAGTAACATAAAGGTTCCTCAGAACATACATAAGTAATTCATTAGTCTATATACTGAAAACAAGATAAAAACAAAATATGGTAAATTTTAAATATGTTCAAAAAGCTGAGAAACATTTATATATCCTAAAAACTGAATAAAAAGACACACAAACAATTATGCCCTGTTAGTTTGTATAATATTGTGGATTGAAGTATGAAAGTATGACATAAACTCTACTGATTATACCCTAATTTACTGAGTCGCAGCAGAGTTCATGCAGCCAGCTCATTGTATAATGTGTGGATCATGTATATCTAAACCTGCTGTAGAGCAATGATCAGGAGCCAGCTGATAGAAGCAGGACTCGGCTGAAATAAATAGCGATACAGAAGCTGAAGCTCATCGGGAAGAGGAAAAAAACGAGCTAAGTGCTGAAAAAAATAGTGAACTGTGGCTAAGCATGACAAAACTTCATGCAAAATAAATGACAAACGTGAACACACGGAAACAGACAGACCAAGCAGCAGAGCAAACAGCCACTCTTATCACACAGTACCTGCTCAGCCAGTTTCCCTAACCTGTTGGGCTGACAGGACAGATAAATAAAGAGATATATGTGTATGTATTCAGATACGTGGACAACTCTCATACACACTCAGACACACACATAAATCATCAGGGACTGAAAAAAAAACAATAAAACTATAAAATAAAAGAACACGACCAAAAACTGACAAAAGCCAAAGTCAAAACATGACTTATTTCACTGTTTTTATTTACTGGAACTAAATGTAAGATGAACCATTGCAATTTCTAAACTCTTCCTCACATGCAGTGAGCTGGTAAATCAAGGTCTTGTATTTCATCCTCTAATTATCTAATAAAATAGTTTCATTTAATAAAAAGTTTTAAATGTCCCATTTTTTCCAGTTAAAATGTTTTGGCTTGTGTGCACAGAGCTGCACTGCAGGAAAAATAACGAGCTAGAAAAAATAACCAGCCAGTTAAATAAACGAGGAAATGAAATCCATCGGTTAGGGATAAAATAAACAAAGCTGTCTGCAGAGACACAAAACAACTGGACTGCGTAGCAGTTTTCTAATCAAATCTTAATTTGTGATGGATTTATTGGAATTCTAATCAACTTTTTTGGTTTCTTTACATCGATACATCAATAATTACATCGATAAACCCTTTGCATGCTCCTTGTTGTCTTTTATTCTTCTCAGCTAATGCAAGCATCCACAAACTTTCCAGGTTCAACATCACTAACATTCAGGCTTTTATGAAGTGTTGTCAAACCGACACCGCACAAGAATTTCATTAACATCTTTGCCATGAATCTTTGCCCAGATTCATGGCCTGCTTTGGCTCTAAAACACTGACATTCATTCATTCTGGACTTTTCCCAGCCCTCCCCCTTTCGCTTCTAATGTTCCTTGACCAGTGGGCCTACCTGCAAACAGATCGCTACGTTCACCCTGCAGCCGAAGGTGGTGCTCACAGCTCTCGGTGAAAGCCCCAGGTCTTTGAAGATCTTCGAGAAGGACTGAGTGAGGGCTATGCGGGGCCTTTCCTCTGCTACCACCATGCAGGTACGCACACAGGACAGGTTCACATTTCTCAGCTGGATATGGGGGAAAAGAAGATCAGCTTCAGCAAAACCTACGAACTTGAGAGTGATAAGATTATTTTGGGCTTTGCAGAAAAAAGGAGAAAAATAGTTTCTGTGTTCTAATATTAATAATTATTTTTCTTAGGCAGACTATTAGGCACCTATTAGATCACAGACAGACCAGTCTTAAGTGCTGCAGACAGTAATCACAGGCAGACACGGAGCAGTGAAGTGCTTCACCATTCAGTACCCTCACTTTGTCTTGATAATTATGGTGCTGGTGCAACAGCACCGCAGGGAAAAGGACTATTTGAAGAGAATTACTTCAATTTTGTGCAAGAAAAAAGCTGTGGTTTGTTGTTTCCCCTCAGTGACACTGTTCAACAGCTGAAGAGACCAACTGACCCGCAGTGCTTCTGTCTGTGAACCCAGTCCTTTGGTGCACATCTCCATGACTGAGTACGAGCAGAACGTGACGCGCACTTTGTACTGGCTGACGGCTGCAAGCCACAGAGATGCGTTGCTCTCCAACTCCAGCGGTGGAACCAGGATCGACTGATGGCCCGAGTACACGCTGAAACAAGAAGATGCAGGCAAGAGAGTGAACAGGAATCCACAGAAAGAAAAGATAATAATCTGTGTTCAGATTTTCAAATGTTACTGGCGGTCGTTTGTTGAGAGCCCCTACCTGCACAGGCACCAGAGACCAAAGCCCAGGCCGCAGTACGGGTCCAGACAGATGGCGATCTGCCGGGATGGGTAGAGCTCACACTGCAGCTTAATGGAGCGACACAAGGCACTGGTGGCAGCATGAGACATCTGGAAGAGACAATATGACATAAAAAAAGAAAAGAATGAAGCACAGAGCCTGGGATTCATTACCTCACAGCAGACTAAGAGCCTTTTAAGCCTTTACTGTTGTCCTATAAAATCAATCATAACTCCAGAATGTGCTGAAGTTCACCCAGTCAAACATGCCGTTTGTTACTCTTTTTAATTAGACTTGCAAATCTGTCAAATAGGACTTCATAGGGTTTTTTTTGTAGTTCATTTCATTTATAGGCAAGTATCTGAATCCAGTTTTTCCAAATTAAGTGTGAACAAGAGGTACAGCTAATGTTAAAATGTCCTGCGACCTGACACTGAATGCAAGCAAAGTGCTTAAAATCAAGGACTTCAAATCTTACTTTCTTTATATACCCTTCAAAAGATCAAATGTGCTTTTTATTGCCTCTTGAGTAGATTGCTGTTGTTAGTTACATGTCTGATAGGTACTAACATCCTGGAAAAAGGGGTTTTAAAGGGGGAAATTAGTCTCCTGATATATATGTCTAAAGATAAGCATTTGCCACCTTTTCTGATAATGATACACTGGATATTTGTTTGCAACAGGATTAATTGCAAAATCTTATTCATGAGTGCCTTAATGGGCTAGCCTCAGATTATCCCCATCACTCTCACGTGGTGGTCGTCTCAGGTCATTTGCTTAGGTCACTGGACCAACAGCTCTTCGTAGTCCCAAGATCCCAACTAGAACTTCATAAGCGTTCTCAGTTCCAGCTCTGAAACTTTTGAACATCCTACCCCTCCATTTCAGGGTGTGCATTAACAGGAACAAAAAGAGGCAATATGATGGCAACATGTGAATCTACTGAACCTGACAGTTCGTTCAACATACTTTGACCCCTGCCAGGATGCCTGTCGTGGACACACTGAAGTCCAGGTAAGCCAACATCTCTGGGGTTGGGGGCTTGTACATCTGGGGGCTCTTCTTCCTGGGGAGATCATCTGTTGGACGAAGAACGAGCGAATTAGGAGAACGTTCACTGCAGAAATTGATGTTAAGCATTTGAGTGTGTGTACATAAATTACCAGTGTCCAGCACGGTGGGCCAGCTCTTGATGTCCACAGCAGCAGCAGCTTCTTTGGATTTCAGCAGCTTCGTTATTGCTTGGGTTGTCAGGATGCACACTGACTTGCTGACCTTTACCACAGATAGTAGAATCTAACTACATATGTTGTGTTGCTGTTCACACTGTTTTCTATTAGACAGTAAGGCGTTGCTAACAGAGCACAAATACATCTGAAGATCACTGACTTTAATGTATTTTTTAATGCATACAATCCACGTTGACTGCCATAAGCACTTGATGTGTCCCCAAACAGCCTCTGTGTTACCTCGACGATCATTTTGACGGTTGGCAGAGTGGTGGCCAGGTTCTGTGGATGTGGCGGTCTGACGGTGACCGGCACACAGCCAGCGTACAGGCAGCCGTAGAAAGTGGCAATCAGGTCAATTCCTGCACATAATGTTTGTTTATATATATTTTTTCTCTTAAAACCAATGGAGTGAGGATGTTTTAAAAGGTCAAGAAGCACAGGGCAGCGGATGTTTTTTTTTTTACCTGGCGGATAGACGAGTGCTACGTGGTCTCCAGTGTTCAGGCGTCCCATCAGAGCTGCTGCCACTCGCTCTGCTCGCTTGTGCAGCTGCAGACAGGAAGCTGAGCTGGACACTGTGCCCTGACGAGAAAGCACAAGAGTAACATTTATCTGCACCGTTCTCTTTATTTAATTCACCATCATCAAGATTTATCAGTCCACAAATGTCTAACAAGCTAACGTTCACCGTTGCATTACAACTTTTTTCTTTCCTCTTATGAAAACTTGAGTTGTAGGAGTTTTGCATCACTTTAATGAAGTATCTTTACTCATGACTCACTTAATTAAACTGAATCAGGGTAACAGGTAGACCTGAGACAACAATCTTTTTTTGTAAAAAGGTTTTAAACTGAATTTCAAGGAAATTTACTGTAATAACACATCAGTGTTGCTACCTTCAAAACCACCTTCTATTTAGAGATCTTTCTATCGATCGTATTTGATCTTTCTTAAGTCAAACCCCAGTATAGACAATACCTTAGCATTGAGAACCAGAAACAGAGGATGATCTGGCGTGGCCTGAGCTCTCCACTGTAGCACATCCTGAATGTAGAGGAACTAAAGGAAGAAAACACAAGATTAACTACAAAGATATCAAAGTGTCACACAGAAATATCTTGTCTCACTTAATAAATGGTGTTAAATATTGTTGCATAATGGGACAAGGCTGTTTTTGCACATGAATAAGAAACATGTAAGGGGTAGAGCACATGTGCAGATGATGATCAAAAGGCAAAAAGGTGTAATGCATGATGGGAAAACAATCTGAGTTATGTGATGCCTGTGTTTTTTGGAGAAGGGAAGGCCATCTCTCAGTTGCATGTACTTCACTGTACAAACATAGTGTTGAAAACATCGAGAAAAATAAGTCTTGGACCAGAAAAATAAGGCCCACTTAAGATGTAATTCAGAACAAGTTTTGGCAGGCAAATGGCCAAGTTCCTTATATCATACGCGCCGTCTTTGTAACATCCGTGCTGTTCGATTTCCTGACTGAGGTTGTCCAACCAACTGAAGAGCACATAAATCTAGACTCAGATTTCTCCCTCAGGTATGGATCCTTACCTGTGTCTGCAGTGTGTGAGCAGAGGTGTGGCATGGATGAAATGAGGATGACTATCTACCTTACGTGCCTGGTCATTGTCCTCCAGCTGTCCCAAGTCTCTCCCGCAGGCTTGTGCTATCCTCTTGCCTGCCACCAAGTTGCCCACTATCATAGAAGCAGGACCAACCTCTGTCCAGCACAACCAAAGCATCATCATCATACATCTCAGTGAAGTTAGCACCAAAAATCATTTTAAGGCAAACATACTGGATTAATTATTGTTGTGTTTTTGATCTCAGAGTCTAAGGTGTCTTGTGGTCTACCTGGCTGTTTCTGTCTCGGCTTGGGCAGGTTAGTGACGCATGTGTGAGGGCACATAAGGACATTGCAGGGGTGTAAAGCACCCTCCAGGAAGCGCTGCTTGGTCTCAGATATATGGATGCCGCCGAGGGGAGCCTTAGGAAGCGTGTTAGCAGGTACCAGAGCCAGGCAGTACACCCCAACCTGATGGATGCTGTCTATGGCCTGAAAACACAGTTTTTTTTGGTAAAGTTTGAGATTCATTTATTATTTTATAAACATGTAAATTCAAAAATAAACCAAATCAAAACAAAAAATATTGAGGACCTGGAGGACACGGCTCATCCACTGGAAGCTGTCTTCCTCTGAGGCGTCTGGCCTCTGCTCTGCCACTACGACGATCCTCTCGTCGTGCAGTACAGACACAGAAAACACTGCGATCCTGGGGAGCAAAGCAACACCGTCACAAACTTGCTGTCCTGCTCAACAAGAAGTGCAAACTTCCATATTTTCCATGCCGCTTCCTCCTTTACCTTCCCCTGTACACAAACTTCATGGGCTCCACGGCCAGCGCTGTGGCAACTACGTCATCAGCGTTATGTCTCCGCCCACTGACGACCATCAGTCCATCCATCTTTCCCACAACAAACACAAGGCTGTCCTGGATAGAGTCACAAAAGTTCATGTGGTGATCCGCACAACACATGAGCTCCTGGTGCAAAGAAATCTGAATGCCTCAAAAGGTTTACAGACGTCTTATAAACTATCATCAAACTCTTCATCCAGGAGCTCTCATGTCCTCAAAGGGAAAACAATTGTGCTTTAAACTCGGAAATTAAAAAAAACATCACCATTTGTCAAGTGATAATTACACTGGTATGATCATCTCCACGATTTTAACAAATTAAATAAACTCAGGTCAGCTCCATCTTTCACTGGTTTGAAAGTCTATAAACACAAAAGCAATCCTTCAAAATAAAGAGACTTCCGTTTCTTTCTTTCTTCTGCCTTCTGCTGAATAATCCAATTCAGAAACCGGGAGTTTAGTGAAATATCCTAAAAGAAAAATTAATCTTTTAGACTAAAATCAAATGCCATAGCCTCAGAGACCGTTTTCTTCAATTCTGTGAGCACATTAAATTAAAATACGAACAAATACCTGCAACAATTACAGAGATGAGTGGTCTTTGTGCATTGACTGGATGGACCCTTTAACTGGGCAATCTAATGTTGCAAGTAGTTAGTTTAGTTAGTAAAACATTTGCATATTTGTTACTAAACTCGCTGTTGACTAACAACCACTAACACAAACCATTGAGAGTCTTCCTGAGTAATTTAGAAAATCACAAACCAGAGTAGAGGCAACAAGATGGTAAAACTGACAATATCACATGTGGCACTTCATGCTGATTATTTCTGACAGATATTAATATCTGTTCTATTAGGCAGAAAAACCCATTATCATTATTTTTATTTTTTGCTGCCAGAACTGTCACAGTAGTACTATGAGATCTGAAAGGACAGTTAAAATGTACCTGTGTAAAGCTGTAAGACTGACATTAAATCAAAGGAAGGTTAAAAGGAAATCTAAAGAGGAACTTACTGGCCCTACAAAGCCCAGCAGTGAGGTTCTAGTGAAAGGTCGGCCACTGATCGGGATCCCAGACGGTGTTACAGGGACAGTCTTCAAGAAGATACAACACTATTAAAACCAAATATCAAAACAAACAGATACTGCCTTCAATTAATAGAAGTCCAATCAGGTGATGACTTTGGAAATCATAGCGCCATCATTTAATTTTAGTGCTATCAATTAAGAAGATTTTTAGAAATGTGGTGCTATTACACTGCACATATGAAGTGACACTCATGAATAATAAGAGAAAAGCGCTGAATCCTTTGTCACACCTGACCACTTACAGAAATAACGAAACACCAACCTCAAAGATGTTCTTGGTCATGCCTGGGAGGCCGTAGTAAGCGACACCGGTGCTGCCTGAGCTCACGCAGATCTCTCCGACCTCGTCTGTCTGACAGAGATAAGGTATCCCCTCGGCTCGCACCACACAGACCAAGGCTGGAAATGCAAAATGGACACAGAAGGATGGGCACAAGGAGGAATGAGTCATAAGGTCGATATTTAAATCGATTCAAAGATCCCGGTTTGCATTAAGCTTTTCAACAACTTCTATGAAACACTTCAAAAAGTTCAAACAGTAAAATTTGGTAATTGGTGAATTTGGTAAATAATTTCATTTAAGTTGGATGTGGGGATTTATTGGTGATGCGGTTAAAATGTTGTTTTAAAAGAGGCTTTTAAGGTGAATATTTTGCTACAAACACTTTTATATGGTTAGATATTTCAGTGTCAGCATGTACACATTTTTTTTAAATTCTTGAAAATCTCCTTTTTCTCAACCTTCTTCAGAATCAGTATTTTAGTCATTAACATCAGTAAAATGTTAATAATGTGCATGGTATACTGTACCTCCAGGCATGACCTGTCCCACATCCTGCACTGTAAGAACAGAGAGTTTCTCCTCAGTGTCCACACGGATCACCCCGTGACTCAGCCCACCCATGGACAGCACCGCCTTCCCGGGAGGAGGAACCCCCATTTCTGGAGGTCTGCAGGACACACAGTCATGCTATTACTTAAGCCATGCTATCACTTAAATTCTTCCTTTTCTGCTTACGGCAGTCAGACTGAGCCATCTACTGGTGTAGTACAGTGACAGCAGTACTAACACTTAAAAAGAAGAT